TAGCAGAGTTCGTAGACGTCTTCTCCGACGAGTTGCCCCAGGGTTACCTCCCAGCCGAGCAGTAGACCATCGAATAGAGTTGGAGCCGGGGAGCAGGCCAGTAGCGAAGCCGCAGTGGAGATTGAGTCCAGCAGAGACAGAGGAGATGACGCAACAGGTTAGGCATTTCCTAGCGCAGGGGTTCATACAGCCATCTAGATCGCCTTGGGCAGCACCAATCCTTTTCGCGCCTAAGAAAGACGGAGGGTTACGGATGTGCATAGACTACCGCGCACTGAACGCCGCCACCGTCAAGAATAGATTCCCAGTTCCGAGAGTAGAGGATCTTCTCGATGCAGTGCAGGGCGCTAGAGTCTTCTCAAAGATCGACCTCCGTTCGGGTTACCACCAGATTCGCGTAGTTCCAGAGGACCAGCACAAGACGGCGTTTCGTACGAAGCAGGGGTTGTACGAGTTTAGGGTTCTACCGTTCGGATTGACCAACGCCCCAGCGACATTTCAGACGCTCATGAACACCGTCCTCTCCGAGTTCCTAGGGTCCTTCGTCGTAGTTTACCTAGACGGCATCCTAATATTCTCCAAGACGAAAGAGGAGCACGTGCAGCACTTGCAGAAGGTCTTCGAGGTCTTGCGGAAGGAGCAGCTGTACGCTAAGCAGTCGAAGTGCGAGTTCTTCCTCCCCGAGGTCGAGTTTCTAGGTCATGTCGTATCCGCTAGTGGCATTAGGACCGACCCAAAGAAGATCGCAGCAGTACAGGATTGGGTAGCTCCGACCTCAGTCAAGGAACTGCAGAGCTTTCTCGGATTCGCAAATTACTACCGTCGTTTCGTTCAGGGTTACGCATCAATCGCTAGTCCACTCACCGACCTACTTCGGAAGGGCGTAGATTTCGATTGGGGTCCAGCGCAGCAGCAGGCGTTCGAGCAGATGAAGTAGTCGCTCACGTCTTCACCGACACTGTCGTACCCTGATCCCACTCGCTCGTATGTTGTAGTGACCAACGCATCAGATCGGGCCATTGGAGCATTGCTTCTTCAGGACCAGGGCCGCGGGTTGCAACCGATAGCATACGAGTCGCGTAAGCTTAGGGGAGCGGAGTTGAACTATCCGATTCACGACAAGTAGGCGCTCGCGATTATCCATGCGTATAAGGTGTGGAGGTGCTACCTAGAGGGGGCAGATAGTGTTATACGCACGGACCATTGCTCGCTTCGTTTCCTCAAGTCGCAGCCGCAGCTGAGTCGTCGCCAGGCTAGATGGATGGAGTTCATGGAGGGGAGTTTCCACTACAGGATAGAGTACAAGCCAGGCGTTCGCAACCCAGCAGACCCGCTCACTCGCCCTAGTTGCCAGCTCGCCAGCCTCACAGTCACTGCCGGCCATCCACTTCTCACAGCACTCTTCGAGCACGGTTTCACAGTAGATCCCGACTTCACACCGCACCCGTCCGCAGGAGCAGAGGTGCAGGGTAGTGCCTACATACGGAAGGGTACCACACAGATTTGGTTTCCAGCCTACCGCCCTCTTCGACAACTCCTTCCCTCAGAGGCGCACGACGTAGTTAGTGCAGGGCACTTCGGAGCAGATAAGACGGCTAAGACGCTTAGTCGCACGTACTACTGGCCAGGGCTTGCAGCAGACGTAGAGGATTATATTCGCTCGTGCGACACGTGTCAGCGTACGAAGTCCTCTCGCCAGCGCAAAGCAGGACTCTTGCAGCCGATTCCACCGCCCGACCGCCCTTGGCAGGTAGTTACCATGGACTTCATCATGGCTTTACCACGCACAATTAGGGGTCACGACGCCATCTTCGTGGTAGTGGGTAAGTTTTCTCGAGCAGCGCACTTCATCCCCACGCACGGCAAGGTCACAGCAGAGGAAGCAGCGACGTTGTTCGTAGATAACGTAGTCCGGCTGCACGGGGTTCCAGATTCCATCATCTCAGACCGCGACCCTCGTTTCACTTCGAAGTTCTGGAAGCAGCTTTTCGCACTGTTTGGGACTCGCTTAGCCATGTCGTCTGCATACCATCCAGAGACTGACGGACAGACCGAGCGTGTGAACCAGACCTTGGAGCAGATTCTTCGCAGCATCACGATGCACGACGCAGCCGCATGGGACAAGAAGCTGAGCATGGCAGAGTTCGCATACAACAACACGCACCACTCCGCGACATGCATGTCACCGTTCTTCGCACTGTACGGTCAGCACCCCAATGTCCCCACTCGTGTCGATCTCACACCCACAGTGCCTCGTGCGGACAACTTCCACCAGCATCTCACATTCATCCATAATCACGTGAGGAAGCACCTTGAGCTCGCAAATGCACGCATGGCATGCACCACCAACTGCAGTCGTCGTGAGGTGTCGTTCGCAGTCGGCGACCGTGTTCTCTTGGATAGCCGCAACCTCCGACTGCCACAGGACAGCAAGCTTCGTCCACGTTTCATTGGTCCATTCGTCATTGAGCGCGCACTTGGTCCAGTCGCATACCGCCTCCGCCTTCCCGCTCATTTCCGCATGCACCCATCATTCCACGTGTCTCTTCTTCGACCTTACACCGATCCTAACGCCACCTTCTCGGGCCGTGATCGCAATCCACTGCCGGTAGCTGTTGACACCGACGAGCCCGACTACCAGATCCAGCGCATCCTCAGGCACCGTCGCCGTCTGCAGGGGGGTGTCTCTTTCATCGACTTCTTGGTTCGTTGGCGTGGTTACGACGCAGCCGACGATAGCTGGGTTCCTTCGTCCTCACTGTCTCCTGACAACGCTTACATCCAAGCGTACCTTCAGTCTGCAGGCGCCGCGGATGTCGCCTCCTTGGGAGGGGGGTAGTGTTAAGGGGGGATTTACTGTTCCCTTTGAATAGTACTTTCCAACTCACCCTTATCCTTATCTTCCTTGATTTCCTTGTGCCACGTGGCACTCTAGTTTTCTTGCTTCTACTTTCTAGTCCCACGAAGTACTTTCCATCATTCGATCTTGCATGCTATATCAACCTTGCTTGTATTCCCCAATATCAACCAATTCTCATTCAACTCTTCTTCAATTACTCAGTAACTTCTTCGCCTATTTCGCTATTAGTTCTTTCGCCAAAGTCTTCCGCCGCGTTTCATCCTCGACTTAGTCGACCCCGCTAATTCTTAATTCTTTAGCGGACTTAGGCCAGTGGGCCTAACACGGACTGTCAAATCCGAGGGTGTACCAGATTCAATGCGATCACCTGCTTGTCACGTGAATATTTCCGCTAGATCGGTGTGTGTGTTGATCTCCCCCTCCGCAAATCAGCGATTAGATGTTGCTTCTGTTAGGAGAGGAGGGACTGGGCAGTTGTGGTTAGCTGCGAACTGTCACATCTGTCATTTTCCGCACAACAGGCTGCCATGGCGGTGACCTGCTTTGTAGACTACAGTATTTCGAATCACTACTAGTCAACTTAACACGAAGCAGAATCTCGCACTCAACTTCTCTAGTGGGACTCCTCTCCTTTTTAGAAACACGCTTATTTCGAGAAGAGGGGTGGGAAGGTGGTGTGCCTGTGAGGAGATTGCCAAAACAGGCTGGGAGGAGTAAATGAAGAGGGAGTTGCCTCACGAGCCCCTCCCTCGGTCGTATGCACGGTAATTTCTGCTCGATGTTGGGTCAAACGGTAGCGGTTCTGATTGTATTGTATCGATGTCCCGACTGAACAGACGGCCGACAAGAGAATGGTGAGGGTTGTCGCCTCTTGCCGCCCAACCAAACCGATCATAGAACATTCTTATGTAATCGGCCGCGAACAGGGACTCCTCGTTAGCTGACAGACGATCAGTGTCGAACCACACGTCCTTACAACGCCGCCCCTTCGCTCCTTACTACCCGCGTCTGTGCTCTCGGAATCCGCCAGCTCACACGGCCAGGGATGGGGAAACACGGGAACCGGGGAAGCGTGCTTCGTTTCGTGACGTAGCTGTCGTTGTCCACTGGGCGCGAAGGTGCGGGAGTAGCATGCGGCAGGGAGCGGAGGAGGGAACACGAACAGCAGGAACAGAAGCTGAAGACTGTTCAACCTTCTTATCACATGGTCGAAATCTGACGAACTTGCCTTCGCCCCTTCAGTAGTATTTCCCGACAGATCCCGTGACGACAGACCATCACGTGACGCGATCATCCTGCTCCGTCAGCTTCTCGTTATTGCTCCCCCCGTTCACGTGATTCGTCGAGTTGGAAAATTCCATCTGCGGCGATTGAAACTTGAGTAGGACACAGTCTAGATATTTCGCCCCTAGATGCGCGTTCGCGTGTAGGTGATGACGCACAATCGCTCAACGCCAAGCCAATGGGTAATAGCAACTGAAATTCGTCGATTTCGCGTTTGATGCATACCACTCCCGCCACGCTTGACTCCAAGTGCGAGGTTGCGATGCCAAAGTCGTTCCTTAGGCTCCTGAAAAGGCAACGCCCGCGTCGAGACAGATCGTGGCTATAGAGCTGCCATCCCGGCGTGAGAAACCTCCTCCCGCATTAAAGATGTCCTCTCGTGGTGGCTGGACGGTGGACATGGCTCGCGGCTGTGGGAGCTGGCTCGCACTGCTGGAAGCTAGTATCTGCGAGTCGCAGTGCCGCGTTTCCAGGAGCTCCCTTCGGTGGTTACCAGCATCCTCGCGCTCCTTCTTATCGCCTTCAACTCGTGGCGGCTGCGGCCCTGGCAATCACAGGCCAAGTAGTAGGAGGAGAGGGAGTAGTAAGGAAGGCGTTGAAGCTACGGCGGTACTATACTCACCTTTTCCCTCCTGCATTCTATAAACGTTTACTCCCCTTTCCTGTAATCCGGGCTATCGAGACCTCGCAGCCATTTCTTGGACTTCCGCGTCGATGCTTCCTGCCTTGTAGGTGCTTCGGATTTGCCAGCTTGTATCTTGCTGGGTAGCTCCGCTCCGCACCAGGAGTTACACCTCCCAGTGACCTTCAAGCCAAGCATCCTTGAAGCAAACCAGAGAACATCTGACCTACAGAGATGGACAGACGGCGTCTTTATACGGATGAGGAGGAGAGTGGTCCTTTGGCGGAGCTGCTGAGGCGCCACGGGCCATTTACCTTCGAGGCTCCTCAAGAATCGCATATAGGGACTGAGGAGGAGGAGAGTGGTCTCTTGGCGGAGATGGTGAGGCTCCAGGGACAAGTTGAAGAGCCCATTGTGGCAGCAGCCCTCGTGTGTCCGCCTACCCCACTTCTCAAGGTGCCTCGAGGCTCCAATGGGAGCACTGGGCAGGCGCTGTTGAGGCGCCAGGGACAGCTTGAGGAGCTCGCCATGGCGCCTTGCATGTATCAGCGTCGGCTGAATGTGAGTCCCCAGGAGCCCGTGCAGTCCCCGTCCCTTTCACATGCTCAAGTTCCTGTTCTGGAACGAGCCGTGGCGGAGCTGTTTCAGCAACAGCAATGGCAGCAGCGGCAGCGGCGGCGGCGGCAGCAGCAGCATCAAGTGGCAGTGGAGAGCTGGAGCGCACATGGTTTGAGCGCATCTGGAACAGACAGTATGGCGGTAGCAGGCGTTGGTGGTGATGTCGCTACCATTGATAAGTTTGGTGCAGCATCGGCCTCTCTGGTGCAACAGCAGCAAGTGGCGGTCAGAAGCTGGGTGGCACAGGCTGAGCTGGCAGGGCTGTCTCTGCCGCCCGATTTGATCCAAGAATCTGTGCATGCCGCCCGTTACGCGCAGATGCAGATGCGGATGGAGGAGCAAGGGGGGATGGGCGATTCTCGTGTGCATGAGATGCTTGAGTATTCTCAAGGGCACGCTGAGGTGGAAAAACCAGCCCTGGCTTTCCCGGTGTGGCTGGAGGAGGGTAGGTGCTTAGGTGCAAGCCAGGAGGAGGGGGGGGTGCTGGAGGGGATGCTGATGCTGGAAGCTTTGATGTTGCAGGATGGGGGGATGCAGGAGGGAGGGATGATGTGGGGTGGCAGGATGGAGGGAGCGATGCTGCACGAGGGAGGGACGATGCAAAGTTGTTCTTTTGAGGCGCCTCTAGGGTGCACAGTACAGGAGGGACAAGGGATGAACAGCATGGACCCTGCATTGTCAGGCGGCCTTGCCGGGCCCGCCAGCGCCTGCCTTAACTCACACGACGATGCATCTCTTGCGGCCTCCCCAGCATCACGCCTTGCTGTTGCAGCTGTTGCTGCTGCTGCCTGTCCGCTCCCTGCTTTCTTCACGCCCACCGCTCTTGGTGTTTGCTGCACGTCTGGCTGTGCTGGTGCTTGCTGTTCACCTGCTGCCACTCCTGGTGTGTGCCATGAGGGAGAATGGGGTCACGCCGTGACAGTGCAAGAGCCTCCTGCCACGTGGACGTCCCTGATTGGTTCGGAGAAGGTACTGCAGTGGTCGAAAGTGAGGGGAGTATCGGACGAGAGGGAAGTGATTAAGGCAGAGTGGGCGGTGAGAAAGGAAGAGACGGGAGTGAAAGAGGCAAAGCGGAAGGAGGGCGGGTGGGAAGGGGAGGACTGGCGACCGCGCATTCGAGCACGATTGGATGGGCAGGCGGTGGGGCTGGGATGCATACAGGCCAGGAGCATGAAGGAGAGGCACCGCCGCGATCGCATCAGGTGACCGTTCTTCCCTCCATTCCTCTCTAACCTTCCCGCTGTTTGCTCCCCTTCGTTCCCTTCTCTTTTCCATTTTCACCCTCCCCTTCCTCCTCCGCCATCACCCGCCCCATTCTCTTCCTCCTCTCCCCCTGTCCACTACGGCTTCCTCCTTCCTCTTCTTTCCCCTCCCCCTCCTCTTCCCCTCCCCCTCCTCTTCCCCTCACCCTCCTCTTCATGTGGAGTCCTATCTGCCATTTGCATTGATTGAACATTCAGTGGGCAGTTGGCCTTGTGTGTGACACCTGAGTTACTTTCTTTCGAGGCCTGTATCAAGTGAGCATGTGACCTTCTTCTATTCCTGTACATATTTTGGATGTGATTGTATCAGGAGAGGCCTAGAGAAGATTCGTAGGGTGCTACCCCCATCTCTCACAAGAGCACAACTCGATACAGCCACAATGGTGGAGTCTGCCCTCTCTCACATACGAGACCTACAGGTACACTCACCGGTTTTCTATACTGTAGTATCTTTCGAATCAATGTTGGCGATTGTTAGCAACTACTACCGCTGACGCGTAAGCATGTTCACAAAGTGTGCGCGCGTTGCATGCCAGGCACGTGTCACCGTCTCTTAGAGCTCAAACAATCCTAGAGTCACCTTGTAGAAGTTTCTGATCACGCAAGGAGCTGCTTCTGGTTTCCAATGGTTTGCTGTTCATGCATCCATGCAGGTCCAAATTGAAGCATTGGAGAACTCGACAGGTGCTGCCGTCAAAACACCGAGATGTGCAGCAGAGGAGGCAGCATGTGGCTCAGCAACGCCCTAGGCGCTTTTGGGTGACTCCTGAGTCGATTCAAACGTCACCTTGCTGCAGTTCCCTGCACTTTCTCAAGAGTACAGAACGCTTCTCCTGGTGCTAAGATGTCCAAAACGATGGGCCTCAGAGACTGCTGATATCATAGCATGGCATGGCAACGTTTCATCTGAATTCGTGATGTCGTGACATGCTGGTTGATTATAGTTTGTAGTGTAGTCAGCTTTATTGACAGGTGAATCAGCATACATAGTGTAATATTATCTGCATTGTTTGTGCATCTATTGTAGTTCTACAGAGCAGTGCATGGTGCGATGCATCACCCGATTGAACCATACGGTACCATACAACATAGGTTGATTGAACATTCGTTTCGGGCATTCTTTTGTGCGATGAAAATTTGACGAATCTGAGGCCCTGGTCGCATGTGTGGCTGACGATCAATCCTTCATAACGCATTCCGGTCTATATATACCGGTACATTGCTGAGTTGCCATCACCCCAATTTGCTTCCATTCACCCCAGCACGAGCGGCAGAAGCATGGCAGAGTCTCCAGGGAACTTCCAGGTGGCGAGAGGGGAGAGTGCCGTGGCTTCCGCATTGAACTCCGCACCCGCCCCCCTGCCGCCCGCACGACCCGAGCAAACCCCGCTGCTGGCTGCACCTCCCACCGAGGTGCATCCGGGTGGGTTGACAGAGGGGAAGGGGAGGGAACGGGTGAGGTGAAGAGGATGGAAGGAGGTGAGATGGGAGGGAGTGGGTTCAGTGATGCCACCTAACCTCCTGTCAGGGCCTCGGAACACAGATCTTGTCAGGGAAGAGGAGAGCAGGAGTACAGCATAAAAGGAGCACGAGAAGTGGACTGCTTGTTGGTGTAGCCTGTGATGAACCCAGTGCTGGCAGCGGAGGACCAGGGGAGGAATGGATGGGAGTATACATGCACACAAATACAACATGCCGTTGATGTGTATCATGCACGCTGCCTCACATGCACACACACACACACACACTACCTCATATGCACACACACACACTGCCTCATATGCACACACACACACTGCCTCATATGCACACACACACACTGCCTCATATGCACACATACACACGCTGCCTCATATGCACACACACACACGCTGCCTCATATGCACACATACACACAGTGCCTCATATGCACACACACACACACACACACACACACACGCGCACACACACACACTGCCTCACATGCACGCACACACACACACACACACACACACACACGCACACACACACATAGTAGCTCACATGCACAACACCGGATGTTCCGACAACGAGCAGCAGGTCGCAGCCAGTGAGGGCGTCCTCTGCTGCTTGCACCACCCGCGGATCCAAACACTCCCCGAACCACACCACGTCCGGCCGAAGCAACCCATTGCAGGGTCGGCTTGAAGCTGCACTCCCGGGCAGCTTGGTGCAGCGCGGCAGGTCCTTGAGAGCTATGCTCGCTGCCTTGGCACCCTCGCTGGGCGCTCCCTGCAGCAATGCAGCCAAGAAGGGAGCAGCAATGCACAATTCCATCAATCAAGGATTTACCATCACTGCACTTTCCCCAACCCCTCACTGAACCTTACATTACAGCATTCTTCCCAAGCCCCTCCCACCATTGCCAACCGTCCCCATTTCGCCCATCCTTTTTCAGCCCCAGTACCTTGCCCTCCAGAGCAGCGCAGATGGGTTGAGTGCGGTTCTATGCGATGTCCCCACAGGTTAGGCAGCGGGTGCGCCAGAGGCAGCCATGCAGCTCCACCAGCGCGCTGCTGCCCGCTGCTGTGTGCAGCCCGTCCACGTTCTGAGGTTTGCCAGGGGATGGTGAGGGGTGACGATGGGTGGGGGGCGATGGTGGGCATGCCGCCAATGCACAGCGAGGAGTGCAGCAGGGCCGAGCAGGCAAGACGAGGGCACATGTGACGGCAGTGGTGCAAGCAGCTGAAGATGTTACTGCCCCAGCCGGGCATGGCAGTCCATCCACATTGCGATGCTGGCGAGGGGCATGGGGGCATGTGAGCCGTAAATAGTGGGAAAACGACATGGCACCAAGGCCTGGAGCCGGCAGAGGAACACGGGCACCTGTGTGAGGAGCGTGAATGCCTTGCCCTCCCGCTGGCAGCGCTGCTCCAGCTGCACCAGCGCCTCGTGGCCCGCATTGGGTGTGCACCGTGCCACCACACTCCTGCCAGCCAGCCATGCCCAAGGAGGAAATAGTGGAAAGGAACAAGGGAGATAAAATCGAAATGGTAAGAACATGTTCCAAAAGTTCGTCTAAATGCGGCTATAAAAGGCTAGGCACGATCTAGAGCGGTCAATTCAAGATTTAGAATAGCTCAGAAGGCTCGGAAAACAAAACCACACTTGAGGCAAGAGCCTGCAGTGGTGGCAGACGGAAGGAAGGAAGTGGCTATAGTGGTGGTAGGCAGCAGGAGGGCAGCACCTGCGGTAGTGGTAGAACTCCCACACCAGCGATGGGTCCGCCGCAAACGCCTGTGGGGTTGCCAGCTCCTGTGGGCGCAGGGATGAGAAGGGCGAAGGTGCAAGGGGCGAGGGCGAGGGAAGGGAGGAAGGGGGGTGACAACTGATATGGCGTTATGAGTGCCGCACACAGCAAAGCAGCATGCGAGTGACCCACCACGGCGCATCACATCAACCAACACGAACTTCATGAAGCATGCAAGATGGCATGGCACCCACTGTGGCATGGCACCCACCGTGGCATGGCACCCACCGTGGCATGGCACCCACCATGGCATGACACCCACCGTGGCATGGCACCCACCGTGGCATGGCACCCACCGTGGCATGGCACCCACCGTGGCATGGCACCCACCGTGGCATGGCACCCACCGTGGCATGGCACCCACCGTGGCATGGCACCCACCGTGGCATGGCACCCACCGTGGCATGGCACCCACCGTGGCATCATAAGTGCGCCAGAGCCCACCCGCCCCTCTGAAGGTGGGCACGCCTGATGCTGCAGACACACCCGCCCCTGTCAGCACCGCCACACGCTGCACGGGAGTCACACACAGGGCAGTGGCCGGAGGGCGAGCAAAGGAAAGGCCTCTCACAAGGGGTGACAACAATATGATTTGCAGGCGCCATCAAGCTATCATCGGTTCGATCACATTTCAATCCTCGGGCCCTGCGCACCCCCTCCTCTTTTTCCCCCCACTTCTCTTCGCATCGCACACCTCCCTCCATCCCTGCAGCACGCCCTTCCACTTCAATCCAAACTCCCTCTCACTCCACCCCACTCCCCCCCTTCCCCCGAGCGCCCCCCCAAGCTTCAGCACCAACGCGCGCTTCTCACCGATGCGTCCCAAAAACTGGGGGTGGGTCCAACTCGCCTCAAATGCATGTGACTTGCATCTAACATGGGGATTCTTGCCACAAACTCGTCCACATCTGGCCTCGATCTCACATCTTGAGTGCGAACTCCCGTGCGTTGTTGGTTCTTGTACAGAAAAGTGGTAACTGTAGGACACGCGAAGAGCATGTTTCCATCGTGGTGAATATCACGACCGTCGAGCGTTGGTTTGCCCCTGTATGGAGTGTGTATGCTTCTTCATGTACACGACACTGTCTGTCCCGTTTTAATAGCCTCTCTCATTCGATTTAGGGTAATATAAATGTGCACATTGCACGTTGGCAATACATACAAATTAATGGTACAGTGGCTGTTACTTAACCGTCAAAATGTCATCTTGCATTTGGCCAGGTGCAGCAGCCTGGTCCAATTGTTGCAATATTTAGGGTTTCAACTGAAAATTAAGGCATGTTGCTATCGGGCGGGTGTCGCGACGATCGTGGACGCTCGCCGAGCGTCAGCATTTAGTGAGGCGCCCGCCGATCCTTCTCTGCCAGCGCTGTCTCTGTGTTTGAAACGAAAGGAGAGGGAGGGGTGGAAGGGATGACAGCGACATGGAGGGGTACGACCGTGGGTGGGAACGATGGTAACGCGTGGAGAATAGGTGGCCCACGGGCATGGCGTGCTAACGGCCAGGGAGGAGTGTTGAGTGTCGTGGGACGGGACATTATTGGGTTAACGGTTACTAGGTGATATGCCTCAACACTGACATCCACGGGTTGGGAGGGAATATAATCACACAAGCCATTCGTCCCCTGCATCTTACGTCGTTTAGCGCTTCCTTACCCAGTCGGCGCCACGAGACGCTCTCCACGGGTGAATGTGTCGATAGGCACAGTATCTACGTTGTACTGCGCCAACCTCATCTCATACGAGCCCATCCCATTCCGTCCCTTCCCATCCCATCCCTGCCCTCCCTTGCCCTGCCCTTCCCTCTGGGTCCGGTCCCATACCATCCCATCCCATCCCATCCCATCCCATCCCATCCCATCCCTAGCCATCCCAGCCCTACCCTGCCCATCTAGTCCAATCCCTTCCCATCCCTACCGTTCCAATCCCATCCGAGGTCATCCCTTTACACCTCACCCCATTCCCCCCCTCGCCACTCCACCCCGCCCAACAACTTTACACCCCGTCTATGTTATGTTCTTACCATGTACGGTCTCGCGCGTTCTCCTTATCACTCGCATCAGCTCCACGTTGCCCTCCTCCACAGGAAGCCCCTCCTCCCCTCCGACCATTCTCGCGGCAATCACTGTGTACCCTGCCATCACAGCAATCCCCTCTCCGCTTAGTAGCAACTCTTGATCCGGCCCCATCCACCGCTCCACTTCCAGGGCTCCCATCCTCTTCTCCCCACCAGCCTCACATGCGCACGGTGTCGTTTCCATCCACTCGCACCAGGAGGTTCGGGTAGGTCATGCATACCCGGTACTCCCCGCGGATTACTACAGGATCCTCTTCCGCTCTGTGTGTAAGGGGGTCCGCCGGCGCTCAGCTGGTGACATGGGTTTTGTGTGGCGGTGAGTCCGCGCCATCGTCAAAGTCAACTAGCGTCGCGGGGTAGGATGGGCCCGTGCCCCGTAATACCATGTTGCTACATCGTCTGCAATAGATGGGGTGACAGGGGGCGGATGGGAGGAGGAAGGAGGGGGGGGGGGGGGGAATTGTATCACCACAACGGATGGTGTGGGGTATGGCCGTGGCGTTCGCTAAGGGTTTTCTGTATCTTTGTAGCAGGGGGCCACGTGAAGCGGGGGAAGTGTACTGTACGCGCGTGCGAGGGGATCGAGGGAGGTGGGAGAGGGAGCCGGGTGTGCCCACCTCTGAGGTCTCGATCACCGAGTGGGGCCGGGTGATGCACGTGGTGGGATCCGCCATGCACTGCGATGTTGGTAGGATCCACGCAGCACGAGAATGGGAGGAAGGGTTTGAGGGAGGTTTGAAGGGCCGTACGAAGCGCCGTAACAAAGCTACCTGGCACGGACTTCATGCGGAGCTTTGTCTTTCAGTATATTCAGCTGTCAGTGATACGGGTTTCAATGTCACAGGCGGCGATGTGAGTATGGGCGTCAGCGTTTCAAGCTCAGAAGTGCCGCGTGTGAGCTGGGTGCGAGGAGGGTACTTAGGGGATGGGAGAAGGAGGAGATCGATAAAACGATGGGTTGGTGCGAGGCCTTCAGGTAGAGAAGTGGATGGGGGAGAGCGGGTAACGGGGAGCTGGGAGTTGGGGTGGGGGGTCAGGGATTGGGTTGGAAACCCTGTTAGTTACCCGCTGCTGGGATGCTAGTTTGGCTCTGTGCGATAGTTCTTGGGGTTTGGTGAGGGTTACCTTGCCCATGCTCTTCTCTCCCGTGATTGTGCCCGTGTCGTCACTCCAGCGCATTGTGCACCTCCCTGCACCGGTCCGCCCACTTGTTCAGGTACCATACACGGGCGCGCGAGAAGGATTGCACGACGTGCACTGTTCTGATGATGCTCTTAGTTGGGATCACAACAAACGCCCCGCCCGCAGCTGCCATGGTTAGTTCCGTGCAGCCCGACTCCTGATGAACTTCGCCCTCGTTAATGGCTAGAATGAGAGCCACCTCCTCACGCCCTGGAGTCCACGATGCGCCTTCATCTCGTGTTGCTGTTAGAAGGAGGCAAAGTCTGCTGATGCGTTTCGTCTTGTTATCTGCCGAGTACTGGACCCACGAGAAAGCAGGGTGCCCGTGTAACTTCGGCATTGCACGTGCGTAGTGCGGTTGCAGGGAACCCCCGTTACTTGGGGTCCCGGGTAGTGCCAGAGCCGTGTGTACCTGGAGCATGGGATGGGGTGTACGGCGAGCAGGGGTCGGGGAAATGTGCGGTGGGGGGCTTGTGTGGGGGGGGGTTGTGGCGTTAGAATACACCACTTCCTCTCCTAGTGTAACACAACCGCGGATAACGACGTGCATTGCCCGCGTCTGCTGTTATGTACGGTCAGGTGTCACCCAAAGGGTCTAGCCGCTCTCCGTACAGTTGGGCTTACCCACACTGGAAAGTCGAGGAAACCTCCGCTACGCATCGCTGCGGAGTATGCTCCGATGCCCCCCGGGAAAGCGTCGTCGTACTCTCGGTACACGTCCTCGCCGCGTGCATTGCGTGCTGGGCCTTGTGTCATGCGTCGATGCGATTTGGTGAGGCGAGGGGTCTTGCTCGATGTGGCCTGCCGTCATTCTAACATGACAAGCATCACTTGGTTTGCACACATTCGAGGTTACAAGGCACACAGCATGTTTATACGTCGCAGCTTTTTTCGCTAAGAAGCCCAAGGAGAAATACCGCGATGAGTTTCTAGCAATGAAGAGTAAGTATCCTGCTAACCGCGGTCCGGTGTGGCCGAACGATGTCCCGGCGGTTCTGCGCCCACGAAACGTGCACGAGGTCGCTAGGGATTACCCCGAAATCTCAAGCGTATGGCTGCAGAACGAGTACGTTCGGCAAATACGGTGTGGCTTCGTAGGCCCGGAAGTGCTCGAGAACAGTCCCGCGTGCCTCGCTGCGCCACGTAAGGGCCCGGCGCACACCGCCCGGGAACGTGTCATCAAGGCAGTCTGTGATTTCAGGGAATCGAACGACCTTAGCTCGTGGAACGATATTGAGAAGCTCTGCGTCGTAGCGCTGTACCATGACGAACGCGACTTTTTACAGCGCGACAATTACTTAAAAGCATTCATGCAACTCGTCCCAGATTTCCGCGACATCAACTATGAAGCGACGGGGATCGCTTCCCTCAAAGCCTGCGGGCGGCCGCAAAGCCACTACCGCAAATACCTGATGGACTTCGCGATGAGCGAGGGCTGGGTGGTAAGTCATGCTATCGCTTACTAGGGAGGTTGTATGGCCATAAAGTTATCACGCGGGATTGATTCTCATCCTGTTAATGGCGTTTTTTTTGGCAGGTCGAACGCGGCATGTACGACAGAGAGTACGAGCGCGACGCCCGGGTAGATTTTGAGCACGCGCATTTACCGTTCAACGTGCTCAAAGACACACCGTGCGTTGAACATGTGGGGTCCGACGAGGGAATTTGGGTGGACGTTCTGGCGCACGCTTTGGGGATGCGCGCGTGGTGGGAACAACCTGGAGATACCACACGCCACTGGCGCTATGTGGAGGGCTGCCATGACCTGGTATATCCCTGGCATCATCCCAAGGGGGATCATGGCCCTCCAATAGTTCACCGTCTTGTGCCGCAGATGTTTGGCATGAGCGCATAGGAATAGTCGGAATAAAATGCTTGAGGGTCTCGTGTTTCCAGTATGCATTTGCAACGATGTGATTTAAATGGCTACTAAACTAATTTTGTTGTTTTATATCACATCCTAAAAATGAACGGATATTATTTAAGTACGCACAATAAACCTATGGACCGATATTATCGAATCAAGCGGGCGAACGCTAGAGCGGATTGCGCCTCTTTCTTTCTAAAGGGAATGAGGCCCAACGCCTTCAGACGTGCTCGGACGTACTGTATCACCGACATACACGTTCTGCAGTCTGCCATGCGCGCCCAACGCGGCAATGGTTTGCGGGCGTGAAGTTCCAGAGAGTTCCCCGGGATGACATACGTTCACCGCACGAAACAGTGAAGAAACTCAGTCCGAACAGGATGTACCGAAAACCTCTCCATTATGTTCTGCATTGCCGGTCTCTAGACTCATCCGGGTTACCCCTTTCCGTTCCCTAGACAACACGCGTTTATCGGCGTGGACAAATGTTTTACACTACTTGCAAGTATACAATATCCATGAAGTCGCAATATCTTTACATAGTCAAGTGTAGACTTCCTTCTTTCTTCCAAGAACCCGCTTGACCCTTTCTACTAAGCGGCCGTCGGGTATTTTAGAATTCTAAACTCCGGGAAACAGGACCAGTACGTGATGGCAGACATGAACAACGGCAAATGCTTGAAAACAACGGCGACAACAGACCTTCCAGCGTAGACTACCCTGGAAGACGCACAAGAATGCATGCATCACTGCGCAGATGAAAAGGAAACACACGACAAGATAGCGGGACCCGTGATGCTGGAGAATCAAGAACGCTCGCAAAGATGGACCATCTCACCTCTCAATCTTGCATCTCAATCTAGAACCAATTTA